CCGGTGGCAGGCCCAGTCTCCTGGCAGGCTCCCAGGGTCAAGCCCCATCGCTGTGTGACAGGACAGCTGTCACCTGTGCGTGGAGATTGGACCCAACGCATGCAGCCGTGTGGTCGGCTCTGAGGGCCCCAAGCGTCTTCCTTGTGTGACCGAAGGATCCATTTATTGTCACTCCTTTCCCAGATTCTTCTCTAATCATTTTTGATATTTTTAGAATTTTCCAATACCAATACGTGCTTGTGAAAGATGTAAAGCATTAGACGTGTTCTGGCGAGCACATCTGCTCGGGCTGCTGGAACGGAATGCCATGAACTGGGGGCTTCTAAGCGTCAGGAAGTGACCTGCCGCAGTCCTGGCTGCTGAGTCCCAGGTGAAGCTGCGGCAGTTCCTCACTCCTCGCTGTGCCCTCACGTGCAGAGGGGCCTTCCTAAAGGGCACCAGCCCCACTCACGAGGGCTCCACCTTCACGACCTAGTCACCCCCAGAGGTCCCACGCCAGTACCCTCACTCTGGGAACCAGGTTTCACATCCGAGTGTGGGAGGGACACGGACGTTTGTCCACAGCACACATCACAAAGTAAACTTTCCCATGCCCCGCCCCAACCCTGCCCTGGCAGAGGTGGCAACTGTACGGCTCAGCGCATGCCCCCCCGTCTTCATGTACATATGTTGTTGCAGCTAAATTATTACATTTTAGCCAAAATTGGATCCAACTATAAATATTGCTTTTCAACTTTTAAAGTTAATTTTAAGTTTTTAAATTTCTTCCTTGGGTGAGAGAGACAGACCAAGACACAGCACCCCTGGGAGGGTCTTCATGCCATAGCCCACCCTCAGCTTCAGCCAGCTGCAGATCGTGGGCACGTGCCCAGCACACTCAGGGCGGCCTGCAGACACGAGCCCGGAGCCTCACGGTGTCAGGCTCTACTGCCATGCCAACGCGCTGCCTGAGCTTCATTTTTTTAATTATGTAGATAATTCATAAGCACATTACAAATTTTTTAAAGGGAAAGGAGAATTAAAACACTATAGTTCAGGCCAAATCTCTCTTTGTCTATAGCCTCCAGAACCAGGAATGTTCCGCAGAAATAAGCTGTTTTGGTATTTTCCCAGACCTTTTCGCTATGCCTTGACATGCATCTGCTATACGTATAGTACTGTGAAAAGCATAACTTCATGAAACTTTGGGCCATGTTTCCTGCATGACTGGAGCCCTGCATATAAATGTCTGACACCACCTTTTCCGTTCTGTAAGTGATAGGACAAGGCGCTCGCCTCCTGTCAGAGGGGGAAAGGAACGAGGATTGGGCTTGTTGTTTAGGGAAGCCTTAAAGAGTGTCCCTCGAGGTGGGTGTGGTTGTACAGGGACTCCTTCCTCCTCTGAGTGCTCGTGTCTGTGTCCGGGGAAACTGGTCAGCACATCTAGGTTCATCAGCTCAGGGAGCTCCAGGAGGAGTGGGCATTGAACCATGGAGTCAGCCATGTGGGATCCAGCCCCTTAACCACCATGCCACCCGCTGGCCCAATGCCTTTTCTTTTAAATGAATAAAATACCTTTCTTCCCTTCCTGAAGACAGGAGATGGACTGGAACGCCAAGTCCCAGAGAGTGTCCTGGGAACCCTGCTTAGGGGTAGTTAGCAGGTGGGGCTGGTGACCGGACAGTGCCACCTCACTGGGCATCACAAAGCTGCCAGTCTGTGGGAGGCCATGAAGGGCCTGTCGCGAGGCCGGCCTTACCCGAGAGCGACCTGCCTATCACATGCACCACGCAGGGACTGCCAAACGTGTCACAGCACATCAGATGACCAAGGCCTGTCACAGGAGGGACTTGGCCCAAATTCATGGCCAGTACCCCTCGGGGAGACATGGGTCTCTACCAGGCGTCCCATGTGTTGGTCTGGCAGCAAAGTACCATGGACAGGGCTTGCACTGTAGAAGTCAATGCCTCAGCTCTGGCATGGTGGCCCGAGGCGAGGTATCCGTGGGGCTGGTTCCTGCTCGAGCAGGCCCAGGTCTCCACGTCCTTAGCCTTCCTGGACAAAGTCCAGCTCCTCACTCCTCACCTTCCCCGAGCCAGACGCTAACTTCCTAGGCCAGAGCTTCCTTTTCCCTTTTTCAGGTAAACGTTCCCATCAAGTTTTTAGTAATAGCATAAAGCACTTCCACCACGGGCTTCAGTCTGCTAGGCTTAACTTGCTCATTCAAGCTTCTCCGGGGCTGGTTCGTGAGGGTCCAGCCAAACGTCGCAGATGTATGCTTGGCCAGGACATCTCACAACGCCACGGCTGATGTTTCCGATGATGCCACTTCGTTTGAGATCGTGTCAGTCCCTACTGCAGCGTCTCCTTTCAGACAAACCCAGCCCCTCTCCCAGAAGGGGGAAGTCAACCCTTCCTCCTCTTGGTTTTCCTTCTGCCCTGGAGGCCCACCCCTTCCCTTCGACGCTTCCTCCGGGGAAGCTTCACTCTGAGATTTTGCTCAGTATGGGAGCAATCCAGGTTCTCTCACCAAAGTCCTTCTTCCAAAAAGCCCAGCTTCTTCCACTCAAGGCCACTTCTGTGAGAGGCTCAGCTACTCTAAGGCCGTTCCTAGCTTCCGCAGACTCCTTGCCAGCTTTGGGTCCACATGGCTCCCCCTGAGGCTTTCTCTAAAGGCCTGACCCATCCCACCCAGCCACCCCCCAGACACGGGGCTCACGCTCCCACTAAGCCTTTCCTAGCCATGACCCGACTCCCTGTGGCCAGCGCCGTGCCTCACCTCTGGCTGAGCTCCCCACCTGCCCCGGCATGGCTGCCCAACTCTGACCTGCCCCTTACTGTGACGACTTCCCAGTGACGGACTCCCCGGACCATGCGGAACGGAAACACCTGCACAGCCGGCATCGCGGAGCGCGGGCCGCCTTAGCTCCGGGTCGTCCTAAGTGGTGTGGTGTCACATGTGGTGAACGCACCTGCCTCCACGGAGAAGCCCCACGCCGGAGCATCCTGTCCCTCCCACCACTTCCTGTGAACGCCGTGCCCTGCTGCCACCACAGAGGTTCCGCTTGGTCCAGTGGACGCGATTAATCGGAGGCTTTGTCCTGAAGCACGTGATCCCTCTGTGGCTTCTCTGTGCTGGGCAGGACTCAGCCACTTCCTTCTTGTCAGGCCCAGCCTCTCCCATGGAGCAGCTCCAGAGGGACTTGCCCACTGCTGGTCGCACGCCCTTTCAGCTTGGCCACTCCCTCTGCCACAGATGGGCTGGCACCTACCGGACTTCTTCCTTCCCGATCGGTCCTAACTTCCCAGAGTTGGGAAGACCCCGCGCAAGTTTCTCCCTCCCCGGCACCCGATGTCTGTGGTCTCGGCCGAAGTCGCGAGAGTTAAATGAGATGGGCAGTGTGAAGCGACCTCAGCCAGTGCCTGGTCCCCAGTAGGTGCTAGGTGGATGCTGGTGCAACCCCGCACTGTCTCCCTTGAGCCTCCCTTTCCCGTGGAAATGCCAGTAATAGGCCCATTTCTTGAGCTCTTACCCGTGCCAGTACTGGACCAGGTCCTGCCCCGTCCTCAGATAACTTTGTGAGTGAGAGCGCTAAGGCACAGAGCGTTAAATAACTCGCCCACAGGCGGCAGCTAGTGAACCGCAAAGGTCCGCCTCAGGCCGGTCCTGGTGCTTCTCCCCGTGTTTCTCTCCGTGGGGAGTAAAGCCACCTTTGTCCCCATCTTTTCCAGCCTATGAACTTCAAGAGTGCCCAGACCCAGAGCCCTTTGCCAATGGCATAGTGAGGGGAGCCGGCTACAACGTCGGGCAGTCGGTGACCTTCGAGTGTCTCCCAGGATATCAGCTGACTGGCCACCCTGTCCTCACATGTCAACACGGCACCAACCGGAACTGGGACCATCCCCTGCCCAAGTGTGAAGGTATGTCCCTGCGCCACCCCGTTGATCTTCGGGGGCCGGTCATGGAGTCAGATCCAGAGCCATCGGCCTCCCCCTGCCTGCTCAGACTCGCCAGTGCTGCGAGGGCAGGCAAACCTCGTCCATTCTATTGTCACATGGACGTGACCAGCCTGGCCAGGAGGGGGTCCTGGGAGGCTCTGGGCCAGCACCAGGGAGGGCTGGAGGGGCTGTGGGGAAGATATGCCCATCCCCGGGAAGATCTAGAACGTCTAGATGTCCCTGTTGGAAGAGAAGGCCCACACGAGGGTATGGGAGCCCAGGGGCGGGCCGAGGGGCAGAGGGCGACCGTTCATCATGGCCCCTTCCAAAAGGAAGGAGAGGATGAAACGTCTTCCTAAGAGCTCACCCACCCCCTCTCCTCCAGCCCAACGCTATCTCCCGCCTTTGCGTGTCTGGAGAGAGCCGAGCGGACGACTCTAAGGAGCTGGGGCTGGCTCTTGCATCTTCCTCCCTAACCAGAACCGAGACAGACTATGACCAGAGGCCATGCGGCCTCCGCCCCATCTGTGCACTGCATCCAAGTCCCCTTTCTACACTGGCCACCAGCGTTTCCCCGGGGGAGAGGCTGGACTTTGTCCTGCAAAGGGAAGACTTAGAAAGGGCATTACCACACTCAGTCCAAACAAAGCAAAAATACCTCATTCACAGTTGGCTATATAAGGACAGTCACCTGTGCTTCAGCTGGGGGCCACTTTACCCGTAGAAAACGAGCCCTTGTCCACAGAACTGAGCTCCCGTGTTGGAGTGGAGGCGTCATTTCTAAACAAACCCCCTCTTTAATTTTGGGACTCTCCGAACTACCCCGTCCAGCCAGCGGTTCACTGGAGTAGCTGGCGGATCCCACGCGATGCCCTCAGCTTTTCTGCGGACTTTACTCTCCTCCCCACCTGACCCCTGTGTACCGTGGGTGGCTTCTCAGGAGAGGGGAACGAGGGGCTCTTCCCCGGCTCCCCGTCTTGACCCAGCAGCTCCTCTTCCTCCTGGGCACCTCCTTCCCTTGGTCACCAGGCTCTCGCCTTCCCAGCGGCCTCTGCCCGCCTGCCCAGCCAGCGGTTCACTGGAGTAGCTGGCGGATCCCACGCGATGCCCTCAGCTTTTCTGCGGACTTTACTCTCCTCCCCACCTGACCCCTGTGTACCGTGGGTGGCTTCTCAGGAGAGGGGAACGAGGGGCTCTTCCCCGGCTCCCCGTCTTGACCCAGCGGCTCCTCTTCCTCCTGGGCACCTCCTTCCCTTGGTCACCAGGCTCTCGCCTTCCCAGCGGCCTCTGCCCGTGCCATTGCTCCAGTCACCTGGCCCCAAAGTGCCCATCCCTCTTGGCCTGGACAGGGACGCAGTAGGAAGCCAGCTGACCTCCGGTGGGCGGTGGGCGCCTGTACTCACCTGCCTGCCGCTGTCCTCTCTCTGGCAGTGCCCTGTGGCGGAAACCTCAG